GGGGATTTAGGACTTAAGTGTTGAAATTAAATGAAATTGAGGCTTCACCAAAGCCAATTGAAGGTCAAGTTTGCTGTTTAGGAATGTTATGAAGAGTTTAGGGTCCAAATTGAGACCAATGGAGTAGGCCCTAGGGTTCAATTTGGTGGAACCAAGTCATAGGGCCAAAATTGGGGGTTTTGATTTAGATCAATATTGGGCTCAAATAATGGGTCAATTGAGCTTGTATTTAATTTAGATTGGTCACATGAAAGGTGAGTTTGAGTTTAAGATTGAAATTTTGGGACATTGTGATCAAATTGATCGACATTTGAAGTGGATTTGGGGAAATTGGGGCTTTAAAGACAATTTGGGGTTTTTGGTCGAAGATGGTCAAATTGGCCAAATTGGCTTATGTGGTAGTTGAGAAAAATAAAATAAGGAATATTAGGAATATTTTGGGAATTTTTGGGATTTTTTGAAATTTTTAGAATTTTGGGCTAGGGAGGGGTACTTTGGTGATTTGGTAATTTTTGGTGATTTTGGGTAATTTGGGTATTTTCAAAAGGTTTGAAATGATTTTTGAACAATTTTGGGTATTATGGATAAATTTTGAATTTTTGGCCAAATTTAGGATTTCAATGGTACTTGGGTAATTTGGGGGAGTTTAGGGGCAAAAGGTCATGATGGGTATTTTGGGTAAGATTGGGGAACTAACCACCAAAAATAAGCCATGGACCAATGAAAATCCCATTTGGGTCCTCTTATGTGCTGGTCTTAGCTAAACCCTAGCCTAGGGATAGTAGGTTTAGGGGACCATCTACATGAGTATCCCAAAAGTATCAAGGGATCAAAGTCAAGAAATTTTGGGTTTAGGGTAGCGAGTGATTGTGAGTGAAGTGAGTGCCTTAGCTCTAGACCAACTCCCAAGGTCAACCCTAAGGTCAAATAGCCCTATAGGAACTCTCCTTGAGCTCCCCCATAATGACCCCACATACTAAGTGTTAGAGGTTACAACCAATATGCGGAACTTCAAGTTGAGTAAAGAAGAGTTTAGAATTTCTAATGGTGAGGGTTCCTTTTTCTAGTTCTCCAAGAATAGTCAATAGGAAAGCCCTATGGCTAGACCCTAGGCTTTTAAAGGGAAAGACTATACCTCAACCAAAAGTGAGGTCAACAGAAAGATTCCAATCAAACCAGGATATATTCCTTATCGAGCGTTGTTATATCCTGGTTGTATTATGATAATATTTAAGTAATATTCAACGTAGGTTATTCAATGTTGGCTATAAAAAACTTGTAAAATATTTTAATCAATCCTAGCTTATTACAAACTATTTAGTGAATGTTATAATAATTATATGGTTTTATTGCTTTTTGTTTAACACATTTTATGTTGAAATATATAAAAGCAGCTTAATATTATAAATATATCCTCAGAACAACCAAGATACGACCGCAGAGTGAAGAATACAGTAAAGGAATATTCCAATCAAACCAGGATATATTCCTTATCGAGCGCTGCTATATCCTAATTGTATTATGATAATATTTTGGTAATATTCAATGCAAGTTATTCAACACAGTCTAAAAAACAACTCGTAAAATATATAATCACAACTAGTTTATACCACTCGTATCTGCATGAATATTATCGTAATATTGAGGTTTTATTTCGGTTTATTTGACATATTTTGGTAATGAAATTTATAAAAACAACTTAAAGATGTTGATAATATTAACCGCAGACTATAATAAACTGACAAAATATCAAACAATATTAACACTGCAGAAACTACATTAATATCCTGCTGGTTTTGGGTAATAAAAAAATGAATGTAAGTAAATATGTATAATCAAAATTAGTTCACAAATTACAATGTGTTTTGAATTTTAAGTTATGTACCTAACTATATCGATCCGGCATTGCTAAAATATTTGGGTTAGATGAATGAAATGTATCTTGACTTGAACCAACATCTTTGTCTTTTCCTGTAATACAGGGCTTCATGTTAGGTTTCTTAATAATATTGGTAATGAAGACAGGTTTATTAATACTACTGGTAATGCTTACTTTTTACTCTCCTGTCTTCTCCCAATATCCTTTTAACCTTGCATTAAATATTCCTTTTGGCCTCATTTTTGTTGGGTCATTCAAATTGTGTTGTATATTTGGTGTCTTTTTCTTCTTTGACTTTGGCATTTCCCAGTGGTCTCTCCCATTCAATATGACCTCTGATTAGATTGTTAGTTTCTTTAATGTCTCCAAGACGTTTTTCTTAGTAAGTTCATTAACTTGCGTTAATATACTGATCCGGTATGCAAATTTATGAACGTGTGTTCGATATATGAGTCCACTTGAACAACTTGGTGACGTTTGTGAATCCTTCATATGTTTATACCCATAGCTATTATATATATCCTTTCAAACCATGTAGCAACTCTGCTTCAAATATTGAATATAACTTCCTCGTATAAACTAAAACACCTTGCCTCAACACGGGACTACTTTTTACAGCGGAAACAATTGCAGACTGTTCACATTTAAAGTCTTCATCCTTCACATTCCATCGCCAAGATTTCTTGACATTTTCAAGACCCAAGAAACTTTCAGTGAGGGTGCTTGTTGGCTTGGGGGCACCATGACAAATGTTATTCATGGACTCACTTCTTTTCGTTGATTGGATTCCCATCCTAAATATTTCCTTATTGAAGGCATTTGACCACTTATGTCTGATATTGTACAAACTATTCATCCAAGCATTGTCATGTGGATTTCCTTGCTCAATCATTGTACACTAGGTTTCTTCAAACACCTTCTCGGAGTTGCATCTACCCACGCATTTATAAAAAAGATCATTGACTCTCTCGGTGCTCACACCACAATAGACTTTTGAAGACACTTTCTTGTAAATATGCCATTGACATAATCTATGTCTGGTGTGCGGAAGATACTCTTCAAAAACTCTGGCCATTGTTTGTTCTTGGTCAGTGAATATTGACCTTGGATGCTTGTTATCCATTATCCAGATAAATGATTTGAATAGCCACTTGAATGAGTCAACAGTTTCATCTCACAACAAGCCAACTCGAACTAGAACATTCTGTCAGTAGTGGTTCACACCGACAATAAGAGCACAACATAAATTGTATTTATTAAGTCTATAACTTGTATCAAATATTATGACATCGCCAAAGCAATCGTTATCGAGCCTAGATATCTCATCACTCCAAAAGAACTTCAACAAACTACCAGACTCATCAATTTGGACGTCCATTGCAAATATCGTATCCTCAGCTTACCTCTTAGTGAACAATCGTAGAAGAGAATTACTGTCCCCATGTTTAATTTTAACTTTTTTCTCTCTTTGTATGAAATTATAAGCATCTCTCTTCGTGCAATCAATATTTCCCACACCCCCGAATTCTGTAGCTAGAAAACGAAATGCATCGCTTGTTCTAGTCCCTGATTGTGTCATCGATCTAAGAACTTCTGCATTGATATCACTCATCTTTCTGCTGGAACGCAATAGATGTTTTGTCACCGTCCGTTGCCAAAGGATGGTTATGACTTTCTATAAATTTCTTAACTGACCAGTTACCTTCGAGATCGACGACATATCGGGTCATGGCCGGACAACTAGTCATTGTGTCCCCTATTCTGTACTGCACCGTCACATTGTTATTCAATTCTTTCTTGAAATCAGCCTTGCCACAAATGAAATCCTTTATCTTAATCATTTTTGAATTCAACCAAAAACCAACGTGATCCTTTCACAGTAAATCCAATTTGGTGTGCATATGCACAATATTGTTCATAGGCTTCTTTCTCATTATGAACCACTGCGCGAAGCAAGCTTTCCACAATTGGATCAATGCATATAGTTACAGACTTGGGGAACTGCAAGTTTCAATATATCACCACTAGAATGACAAAAATAACGCCTTAACAAAACCAATTAATAAATCCAATAAGACTAGTATGAAACGATACAGAAATAATAACATAATACCATCATAATAATACAAAAGTAGTTCAAAGCTAATGATACAACAATAATCTCATAATATAACCATAATAACATAGAAATAACACCAAAATAACACTAATTACAACGACAACATAGCATCATGATAATACCAAAACATGTGGAATATATTATGGTTGTATTATGGTATTATAATAACACAAATGTACAGTTCAAAGCAACTGTGTTATTTTGGTGTTATTATGTTATTATTATGATGTTATTATGATAATATTAAGATGATATAAGTGATTTTTTTTATTATGATGCTATTTTGCTGTTATTATGGTTGTATTATGTTCTAAACCCTTAACCCTAAACACCATGATAATACCTAACTAACACCACGTCCACCCTCCAACATAACAGTAATGTTGCAATCAAATCATATAATAATCACATCAGAATAGCTTTTTAATATTTCAATCATTAGTACGCCATAATAACACCAGTAAATAGAAAGAAATAAGTTCACCTGTGGAACACTTCGTGCCTCAACTAATAAACTTAATCAGCTAATAAGCTCAGCTCATTGACATCATTCTCACAATCATTTTGCGATTCCATCAACATTTCTTGGTCGAGAGAGAAATCCATTTGAAGAACTCTAGCTGTCGAACATGATTCCGAATACGAACACAAATGGAAAAAGAAAATAATTTCTTAACCCTAAAATGAATTAAAGCTGAAAATTCTTTTCTCCAGTTTAGCAGGTTCTAAAATGACAAAATTTACGATTTGATGGGATCAGAAGGTGACAAATAGACGTTTTTTTGATGTTGGGACGGGCTTGGGCCGGGTCGCACTGTAAAAATAATTTTTTTCTTTTTTTTTTGGTGGGACAATAACTCTGGGTGTCTCTTTTTTATTTGCTATCACAGGTAACCTTATTTACAATCTCTAGATTTAATAATTTCTACTTAGGCACGTACCCAAATTTTTATGTAGAAAGGAGTCACGGCTCGTAGTAAACGGGGGACTGCACACTTTCGCGATGGTCGGATTGTTGTAGAGAACAAGACTTCTGGGCCGGTCGATCCGGTTCTCGCGCCACGGATATCAAAGCCCAAATTCCAATCCGATTTCGGGCGTTGACAATTCCGGCACGTTATTTCTGTGAACGATAACGTCGAAGGTTGCCTGGGAGATTCTTAATTTATTTGAAGGAATCTTGCAAGCAATTTGCATAGAGAGCGGGAAATCCTTTTGGAGCTCGAGTTTGCGAGGAAGGGAGAGAGAGAGAGGTGTTTCAGAATGGTAGGAGAGGCAAAGGTTGATAGGGAGCAGGAGGTCGTCTCCGTTGAGCTGCCAGCTCCTCCTGGCTGGAAGAAGGTGAGATTTCGGTAATCGATTTTGCCCTTTCATTTCTTTGAAAAATTCTGATGCCGTGCCCTAATTGGCTGTGTTTGACTCTTCTAGGGAACCAATCTCACACGCTTAGTTTCTTGCTCAGTGTTCACATCCTAGGGTTTCAGAGCTCATATCCGGCTCTTTCTTTTTGTTTAGATTTGTTATATTCAGCTGTTTGGGGGTTAGGATCTAATTGATTTTGTCAGGAGTTTAACGTAGTTCATTTTATTGGTGAACATTATAGCTCAATAATCGAAATTTGAAGTGCTCATAGCGCTTATCTGGCAGTGAATTTGTATTTTGTGTTGACAGCTGCACGACATACGAGCTAGTGAAAAATTTTATCTAAAATTTCTGCCTCTCCTCCGTCCAGGCCCACATATTTGCTAATTTTTGCATGGTGCGGGTATGTAACGTTGTGCTAGGTGACCTTTTCTTGCGAGTAATACTACGTTTTCCTGATAAGTGAAGTTTTAGCTTTTGTCTAGTACTATAATATAACCCCCAACTTTTATTCTGGCGCACTGGAAACCTATACCAGTAGCTTATACTTAAGTTCAATTGAAAACTATTTTATTTACCTTTATTATGTCTATAAAAGCCTTTTTCAATATATATATTTTAACTACCTCCTATATTAAATAATGGAATTACTCTAAAGAAAGCTTGTCATATTTTATTGCCTCCAACTATGATAGCATAAACCGTATTGGACGTAAGGTAAATGCATTAATTTACTTATATCTTATGTCATCTAGACATGGATAGGTTGGTCAATTCATGATACTTGACACACACCCACCATACCATGGACAAAAATGGTTTATCTTTCTTTTTTTTTTGTGTTGCTCTTAACTTTATCTAGCTCCTTTAAGATGAGTGAAGTTTGTTGGAAGTGACGGGATATTCTCTTTGATTTTAATATGGTGCTACATAAGGTGCTATTTTAGAAGGTTAAATGTATTTTGCATTATAAGTGTAATATTGAAGGTCAAGGACATGCAAATTTTTAAGGTGTAAGAGTCCATTTGCTTAATTTAAATTTTTAGAAATGCTCTAGTTTTGTACTTATAAAATATTATTTTTTGACAAATCATGTTACAACAACAACAACAACAAGTCTTTAATACCACTAAGTGGGGTCAGGTATATGAATTTATTTATTTATTGTGTCCTATTGAGTGTCGTATTTTCATCTATTTATAATTAATTAAGATAATTTTTTATGCAATATGCCTAAGTTTTTTTAGGTCTACCTCTACCTTTCTTAATATAAGACAAATCTAAAACATCTACTCTCATAACTGGGTCATCAAATGGTCAATATACAATGTGATCAAACCATCTAAGGCGACTCTCTCTAGTCTTATCTTCCACTGGAGTTACTCCAACCTTATGCGAATATATTCATTTCACATTTTGTCTCTAAGTGTCAAACCACTCATCCATTTGAGCATTTTCATCTCAGCAACACTTAACTTAATTTATGTCTCTTTTACAAGCCAAAATTCTGTGCAATAAAGCATTGCGTGTTTCACCACCATCTTATAAAATTTTTCTTAAGACTAAGCGGTACTTTCCTACTACACAATAAACCTAATGCATTCCTTTATTTTAACCATACATTTGAATTCTAATAATAACATCCCATCTATATCACCATCACTTTGAACAGTAGACCCGAGATATCTAAAACATTCTCTCCTTTTAATGACATGATCACCCATGTTACAACCACACCACTAGATCTACTAATACTAAAATATATTTAGTTTTAGATGTACTAAACTAAAATCTTTAGACTCCAAATTTGACATTCATAATTCAAGGTTGTTCTGAACCCTCTCTCTAGTTTTATACATAATAAGGATATCATCATGGAAAAGCATACGCCAATGTACATCCTCTTGTAAATGTTCAGTAAGAACATCCATAGCTCAAACAAAAAAGATATGGACTTAAAGCAGATTCATGATGTAATCCAACTAAAATAAGAAAGTATTTGGTCAATCTTCTTTGTATTCAAATACAAGTAAAAACTCTAGTATGCATATCTTTAATGACAACTCATGTTAGAACATTTAAATTATTGCTCTTTGGCAAATCATGATGACTAACACAAATTTATCTTTTGAAGTTCCTAGGGCTAAAATGAAAGTAATATAAATAATATAAATGTAGAGCTAAGCGTACTAAATATATAAAGAAAAAAAGTTATTGAGACACATGAAGCTAGGATTGCTTTTTATGTTTTTAATTTGTTTGATTAAAGGTTTCCTACCAAAATTATTAGATAGTTTCATAGGATGTAAACAAGTTGCATTGACTTGATCATGGTATTTGTATATAACTTGGTCTTAAAAATGAGATTAACAAATTTTCTCAAAATAAATCTATAATTTAAGCATTGAAAGATAATCATGCAACAATAATGTAATTGACATATAATTATTTAATTTTGTAACATATGAGAATTTCTGTATTTTACTACTTACCAAATATTGTTTTTCTTAAAATTAATTGGTCTTTTAGAATGAAAATGTTGTCATGATAAAGGAAAAGGTTTAATTTGTTTTAGCACAAAGTTTGTTTATCATCAATTATAAGGTAAAAGTTAGCTAAAAATAATTTGCTTATAAGCTTAAATAAGATGAGATTTTCATATTTTATTTCTAATATTATTTTAATATGATAAGTATCATTTATTTCTAAGTAAATAGATTTAAAGGATAAATAGATTGGCTAGCATATATGAAACTATACTATTCCTATAATTAATAGAATTTAGGTTGGAATTATATTGAAATTTTACCTTTTAGTATACTTTCGGAAGTAAGATGTTGGATACACACCTTGACTTGATGTATTTTTGAACTTTGCAATCCACATTGTCACATGCCTTAATTGATTCTCCATGAAGTCATACCTACAAGAAATTCCTACTTTGATTTCGACATCCAAACAAGTTTGAGTCTACCAACTTTATTATTAGATGATGATAGTGTCTGTGTAGGTGGTGATGAATATAAACTAGTTTTTTTTTTCCTAAATTGGTTATGATCTTGAACTTGCAGTGCACACGTAAATCCTAAAAGCATAAGCATGAGTTACTTGCCTATTGTTATTGTAATATTTACATTTGATATTGTGCAAAGTGTACAATAAGGCTTTTTATTTCTATTATCATGCTTCAATAATAGTAATTAATTTTTGCATGTGATTTTTAACAAAAATATGATGAATGCTTGCAAAAGGTCCTAACTTTATAGGAGCTGAAGTAAAATGATGGGTCATTCTATTCATTCTCATCATTCTTAAATCATCAAGGTAAAAATCACATGAAGTAGAATTGCTAGTAGTTTCATTTGATAATAATTCATTAATTTCACTTATGGATAAAGCAACTCTATCTTTTAATCAAATTAATTTATTATTGTGAAGATGAATTATAATAGGGAAGTTTGAATTCATTTCTAAGTTTTTCATTCTTCTATGCAAGCAATTAATATAAATTTAGTTGATTGTATAAGTATACCATGTCATTCTTAATAGTTTCATTTTTATTTTGTAAAACATTAATTAAGCTATTAAAAAATTCTGATTCATTACTAGTGCTAATATACTTTTGTTCAATTTTTTCAATATTTTAATTAATTCATGAAAGCTTTAAACAATTCTTCAAACTCTTTCACCTCATCATTTTATTTGGAGTTGGAGTATGTAGAAGTGGAGGGGGCGGGGCAGCGGGCTTCTACTTTAACTTGAGCATTCTTCTTCTTTCCATTTGCTCTCTTTTGTTTTCTTTGAAGATTTATCCTTTGGTTTATTTGCTTGTTGTTTAATGAAATGCTCCATCAAAATGTCTTACTCAACCTTATTTTCACCTAACATCATTATTCCCAAATAAAAGGGTGAGAGTTATCAGAAATTCTTTATTGGTTTTTAATGCCATAAGTGATCAATTTTTGGTAAAATGGTTACTTGACATATACTTTAATTTATTTGTTTCAATATCTTCCAAACACGTTACATCAAAATGTCTTATTCAATCTTGTTTTCACCTATCGGCATTATCACCAAATAAAATGGTGAGAGTTATCAGAAATTCTTTATTGGCTTTTTAGTGCGCAATAAGTGATTGATGCTTTGGTAAAATAGTCACTTGACATATAATTTAATTTATTTTTTTCAATATCTTCCAAAGTTCAGACATCAAGAGTTTTCCTACTAAACTATTATTTTAAAAAATAGTAGTTAGAAAAGGAATAATTCAATATATGATATTATTATATAGAATTAATAAATTTTATGTTTTCAATAGAAAATTATTTTAGCAAGTTTAGGAGAACAATCAGTTAATTGCACGAAAGGCCAAATAATCTAGAAGTGTGCCAAATGATCTACTGTTGCATGACAATAATAATAATTAAAAAAAAACAAAAAATAAAAAAAGAAATCATTAGGAGCATAGTTTGCTTCGACATGAATAGTTTGCTTCAACACTCTTATTATTATTATTATTATTATTTTGTTATTTTCCTAACTAAACTATACAGCAGGCATGTAGGATGAAATAAATAAACAATCAAAATCACAAGAACGCATGTACTGACCAAGTATATAAGATGCTGGAAAGTGAGTGGCCAAACCCAAATTTGAACGATAAAACATGCAACAATATTAGCAGACAATTTGTAATCAAGTTTAACAGCGTAAAAGTGTAACCAAACTAACAGACAATTAAGTCGAGTATATGGTTAAGCTTTATGCATGGGTAACATAATTATCTGCAAGAACATTGAAATTTAACTCCATTGCACAAGCTTATGTGATCTAATGTCATTTGAAATGTAATTTAGGATTCCTCACACAAACTGATATGGGGCAATCTAAAGAGCTTATGTTCCACATAAGAGCAATTAGACTATTAAGAGCAAGATTAGTATTTGCTCAACACATGGGCATATGATCATTTTCTTTAT